TCCCTGGAAACTTCAAAATGAATTCTCAGTCCTGTCATCATCCCATTCTCATGCTAATTTAGCAGCAATGGGCCGTGGGTTTCCTGCCAGGAGTGGTGGCACAGCAAGTCCCAGCACGGGGGAATCTTCCCTGGCAGAGAGGAACTCTCCTGCCCACCGTGCTGCTGGCACAGCCATGGAATTACAGGATGGTTTGGGTTGGAGGGGTCCTCAAAGCCCATCCATCCCACCCCTGACATGGCAGGGACATGTCCCAGGCTGCTCCAGCCTGCCTTTGGACACTTCCAGGGATCCTGGGGCAGCCCCAGCTGCTCTGGGAGCTCCATCCCAGGCCTGCCCACCCTGCCAGGGAACAACTCCTAATTCCCAATATCCCATCTCACCCTCCTGTGGCTGGAACCATTCCCCTTGTCCTGACACCACACGTTGTTATAAATTATCTCCCTCAGTGAGGGGTTGCTGCCTTCCCCCCAAACATTTCCCTCACCTCCACACGTTCATCCTTGCCCACTTATTCCCTCCTAGAGGTGCTGCCTTCTTCCCAACATTTCCCCTTCTTTTCCTTCCCTTTCCCCAGGCTGTGAGTAATGCAGAATACACATTCTGCTCTGTGTTTCAGAAGCTGGGCAAAATACTGTCAGTAGAACACATCTGAAAGCTCCATGAGTTAATGTGTCCTTGGATAGCATAAGCTGCTTTGATTTAGACTGCAATTTGCTGCTTTTCCTTCTGGGATTACTGAGGAGTTTTCAGTTGCTGCAGTGGTTGCTCTCTTTTGCTCAGTAATTTACTTGCATTTCAGGGTGCACACAGGCTTCCAGGTTCTGAAATGAAAATGTCTTAAGAAGTCAAGAACAATAAATCTTTTTAGCTTGTCATGTCAAATTTTAATTAATCACCTCTGCCACCTTTTCCAGCATCAAAGGTTTGCAACACACCCTTGCAAACATCAGACAGTGAACGTAAGCCTTAAATACATGGCAAATGATTAGGCTTCCTCATGCCTCACATTGAAGGTAGGCTTTTGGTAGGGCTCTTAATGTTTTGGTAGCAATCTTGGTACACAGACAAATTTTTCACCATTGTTTTTGATCTCTGGCTTCCATTCTTACCAATATTGATACCTGTAATTTTCTTTTTGACTTACTCTCAACATCCTGGCTTGAATAGTTAAGCCAGGACTGCAATAAATTGGTGAAAAATCAGAAAATAGCCCCTGGCCAGATCATGGCACAACTAAGTTTTTAAATGACAATTTCACAGTGCATTATTATAAATTAGTTTTATGTTCAGCAAGGAAATCTTAGTGAAGGGCAGACCATGGGAGGGTTATATTGCCACACCACACACACCATCTGGAGGTTCACAGGACAGTTTGGTGTCACCCTGGAGCCCTTTGGAACATAACTTACAGGCTGCACTTGCATCATTTCCCTGCTGTGAGCTGTGCCTCCTGGGCAGTGGAAGCTGATGGAATTTAGGAGGAGCTGAAGGCAGGTGGCATTCCCTGGGGCAGCAGCTCCCCTGCCTGTGACAGGGAACCCTCATTCCTCTGGGTCCCTCAGGGCTTCACTCGCAAGGTTGTTTGGGGCATCACCACTCACTGACCTCAGTGGGATTGAAAAGCAGCATTTTTATTACAGGGCATGTATCATTTGGGTTAATATTTTTTTTCCTTTTTTTTTTTGGGGGGGGGGGCGTTGGCTTTTGAACTTTTGGTTTTTTTCAGGTGTTTTGTGTGTGTTTTTCTTTGTTTGTCTGTTTGTTTGCTCTGTTGTTGTGCACTTTTTTTGGTGAGAGTTTGTTTGATTGATTTATTTATTTTTTTTTTTAGTCAGAGCAGTGTTTTTTCCCCTCTGAAGGGGAACTGTTGGAGCTGCAGAGGTTTTGCTGCCTTGCTTTGGGCGCTGCCATCCCTTGGGCAGCTTTCCAAGGGCAGAGTTGTGCTGTGAGCTGCTGGGCAGCCCAGCTCTGGTGCAGGATTTCTGCACCCAGAGTCTGAGCCTGGCTCCAGCCTTGTCTCTGCACCCATCAGCTCCTCCCTCACTGCTCCTTTCACTGCAGGGAGAAGTTCTGGTTAGCCCCAGGTAGGAGCCAAGGAGTGACACACAGCAGTGCCCCTGATGTCCCTCCACTCCTTCCCTGGCTGTCAGTTGTGCCTTCATACCTGTGCCAGCCACCCAAAGTTCTCCCTCCTCTTTTTTTCTCCAGCTTTACCTTCAAGAACTCTGCCAAAGGTGTTTTTGTGCAAATGAAGCCTTGCCGTGTCACTCGTGTGCACCTGAATACTGAAAAGGCATCTTGAAATGAAATTACTTCATTTGTTTTATGTCAAAACACAGATTGTTCATATTACCCTCTATGACTCCAGTGGTTTTCAGAATAAACAACAAAATTGTCTAGCTGAACTTGAAACACAAGTGTGTTCCTGATATCCAGCAGACGGGATAATGATGGTGATGAGGGTAGTTGATGTAAATATGTGCTACAGTGCTTAAATATTTACTGTTTCCCCTTCAGGAAAAGGATGGTGTGTCTGCAGAAGGGTGTTTTTTACCTGTACTGTGCTGCAGTGATGTGCAAGCTGAACTGTTTGGCATTGAATGGCAGTGCTAAAATTATATTGTCTCTGTGTAATTATATATACAGGCCCACTCACATACATCACTTACGGAGAATGTAATAGTGCATCACAGACACCATCTTATTTTCTTGTAGTAAATTAGTTTTTTAAATGAGCAACATTTATTTTGAAAAGATAATTTAAAAGCGACTTTGAGATTCTTTTTAGAGGCATGTTATGGTATTTTTTCTTGCACTTTTCTTGCTCCAGAATTGACTATTTCTGGATAAATGAAGTGAGAGCTGATGTTGATGCTGGAATGCCATATCTCTGTTTGGGGGGCTGACAGATGTGGGTGATTTCATAACAAATGCCTTCTGTAATTTAGCTATAATTGCCATTGGGTCTAGACCTGGTGTGGCTGCCCTCTAAGTTAGTTTAAATGCATGCATTTTCCTGGTCTAACTGTGTGTTTCTGGCGTGCCTGTCACCATGGTAACTGCACACCTCTGAGTTTAAATTCTGTGACACGAGATCACTGCAAGTCTTGCTTTACAGAGGTCTGAGTTGCTGCACTTCAAAGTAGGAAGGACTCTGATATTGTCTCCCTTTAACTTGAATCCCCACACAATGGGATTAAATCCAGTGCTTGTCTGCACTTGTGTCTTTATTCTAATTTTATATGTAACAGCTTTATGAAACGCAAATAACTTCTTACATAATATGCAGTGCTGAACAGTGTGATTTATCTTTAAATATGCTTTTTAAAATAGACTATTCCACTCTATAAACAGAGCACATTTGTGTGTAATCTTGCTGCACTTTTCACTGTGCTGGAGGTTATTTTCAACTGCACTGTATTGTTGTAAAAGTTTTTATCTTTCACTGCTATGGAGAATCCTATGGACCTGATTAAATGGGTTTTTCCTTCCTATTCATAGTATTCAGGTTTAAGTTATATGCTCTGTTGAAACCCCACAGGTTATAAGATTGTCCTTATACTCATTTATTATTCCTCATTTGGGCTCTGGAGCAGTTTAATTTCTGAAACCTAACAGGTCTGAGCCTGAACTTCCTTTAGTTAAAGCCTGTTAAATGTGAATACTGGTTCTGGTTTGGCCTCATTTCTGTTGTGATTGTCTGTAATCCTGCAGTTCTGGTGCCCTTCTGCATGAAGAGTGCTTTTTATATACACAGTGATGTTTAACAAACTAATACAATGCACAAGTGAATAATTTCTCCTCCTGGTATCCCTTTTTTTGTGCTCATGTTACCCAAAAGGAAGCCGAATGTAGGAGTGCTTGATTTTGTCTGTTGGAGCCCAGACAGGAATTTCTATTCCCTGAGCACAGGTGTGGAGGTGGACGAGGCTGGGAGAGCTCTGGGCAGTGAGGACAGTGGAGAGATCCAGGGGAGTTCAGTCAGAATTGGTCCTGAATGACCTCAGACCCAAACCCAGATGGTTTTATCACCCTCACTCGTCCTCCTGCCTGTGAAACATCTGGATTTCTAAAGGGTGCATTCAGGGCACCTGTGGAAATTAAAGCTGTGTTTAGGTAGAATATTTTTCTGACCTGTTTTCATCCGAGCTGGAAGAAGCCTGCTTGCTGCCTGGCTGTAAGCTGGTACAGAAGCTAAATAAGGTTGTAAATATCCATCCCTGTGAAATGGGAGCTAGGGTGTCTCTCCCCTCCCCACCAGCTAAATCTGTTTATGCTGCATTCTGACACAAAAACCTCCCTGAAACTTCTGTGGAACACACCAGGGCAATGCCCTTCGTGCAAAATATGCCAGATTTTGGGTGAATAGCATTTTCCTGTGAAAACAAAAGGTAGCTGCCATGGGTGAGGCTTCTTGAGAGAGGGGAAAACATGTTTTGGGAGTGTGATGGATGGAAAGGGACCCTGTTCTTCTGGGAAGGTGGGAAAAAAGCTGGAGCCAGTGCACAGTCTGTATTTTTGGGAGGAGGAGTTGGTGGTTCCAGGCTTGGGTCCCCATGCTGGCTTGTGAGGGAACTTTTAGGTTAAAAAATGTGAGAGAGAACTGCAGACACCACGCTGTAGTTCTGTTATTGTACTTGGCTTAGGAGCTCTTTAGGGAATTGTATTTTGTTGTCTTGGATGTGGAAGTTTAAGAACAATAACTTAGCAATAAGTACATGAAAGCTATTACCTTGATACACAGGGGAATTTTTTCAGGGTAGTTTTAACTTCAATCCATGTTCCAAGACTAAAACTTAAAACACATCTTCCTTGGGCTGGCAGCACACTGGGCTGAGTATTGAAAGTCTTCTGGTGGTTTTTATTTGCTGGGTGGGACGTTTGTTGTGTTTTGTATTTTTTGTTTGGTCGTTTTTTGTTTATTTAAAAATTTTTATATATCTGTTAAATGTAAGAATTTCTGAACCTTTTTTTTCTCTCTTTGTTCTAATTTGCAGCATTACTTTACTGTTCTCTTTGGCCATGAGGGGCAGAAGCCACTGGAGCTGCGTTGTGAGGATGAGGTTGATGGAGATGAGTGGGTAGAAGCTATTCACCAAGCGAGGTATGAAACTCAAATTGTGACCCTCTGATCCATTTTATTACAGATAAATGGATAATGCTTTGAGAACCTAAACCCACCTTCCAAACAGAAGGAAATGATTACATTATTAGTTTGGTGTTGTTTGCAATTCATGAGTACCTTATAGAAAAAAAACACCTTTAACATTCAATGCTTATTTCACTTTTTTTATCTTTCATAAGCAATTGTGCTGCAGTTGAAATTAGTTCAGAAAAAACAGTGTTTCATTAGGAAGAAGCCCTAGGATTGGTGTTCTGTTAGAGACAAGTGTGTCACGTGAATGAGGAAATTAATGATATGACAGATGAATAAATGACTTTTTCCTTAAAAACTCTTACAGAGAAATAAATGTAAGAAAGAGAAGGTCAAGACATTAAGATGATGAAGTGTGACAAATAAAATTTTGGCTTTAAAACTGCAATTCTGAACCACCTGAACCACAGTTTTGTGAAAAGGGATGTGGTAGGACCTTGAGCCATGCACCAGTCTGTGCCTGAGGGGAGGCCTGTGTGGCAAGTGGCCATGGTTTGGGTGTAATCTAAATTAAAGAAATCTCACTGAAGGCCTGAGGAATGCAGGAGGTGTGAGAAACGATGCTCACTCTTCAAAAATTTTAATAAAAAAAGTTAAATAAATTAAAGTTTAATAAGGGATAAAAGGGATAAAATCCAATGTTGAGGTGCTTGGCTATTTACCAAAAGCACACCATTAACCTAAACCACTTTCTCTATGTACTGCTACATTACAGGGGGTACATGCATATTCATAAGAGTTTGAGTTGAATATGTATATATTCAAACATTCCTTTGGGTTTAGATGTTCTTTTGCTTGGTTTTAACCTTTGACTTGTCTGCATGCCATCTTGTACATTAAACCAATATATTTTATTTCTTCCTGTGGTTCCATCATGTTGTTTTTACACTCCCTGGTAACGAGGAATCAGTAAACTGGGTTCTGGTTTTTCTCACTCTTATTTTACCACTCAGATAGTCTGCAAATGCAAGGAACCACATAATTATCTTACACCATTCTCTGAGTTAGTTACATAAAAGCATGTTAGCATCAGACAGTCTCTATTTTAATATTATGCTACACCCTACGATACCATATATTTCTCAAATTATTATTTACTATTTATATAAGCTATACCATGCATACATAAACTGACAGATTATACTATACCAAAAAGCAGTTAAAAGGAATTACAAATTGTACTATATCAGGATCTTTGTGATCAACAGTAACTTGCAAAACAAAAGCTAATACATCAATGTGAAAGCCAATAACTGCATTTGTGACAGCCAATAACTGCATTTGTCATCTGTAACAGGAGGGAAAGCTGCTGCTGAAATGCACTTTCTGCATCCTCCTCCCATCCACACTCACCTCAGCTAATCTGCAGTGCCATGGTAACGCACAAGGAGCCAGGCAGCTCCTGAATTGCTTAGGACACGAGCCATGTAAACAGAAGTGATTCTGCTTCAGAACTAAAATTGAACATGAGCAGCTCGTAGTTTTTAATTTAGAGCTTGAGAAGCGAGGCCCTGGGGCTGCAGGCCTTGTGCTGCCTGGGCAGCCAGCTTTGGGATCTGTGTCCTCATTTTGGGTTGGTGATGTCTGGAGAGGTGGTCTAGAACAGAGGCTAGGCAGTGGTAAAGGAATGAAGTGGGTATTTATTAAAAGGCCTCAAAGGATGCACCTTGAGCAGCACAAAAGTCTGGGCAAAGCTCAACCCAAGGTGGACCCAAGATGGACCCAAGATGGACTCTGAGTCACGAGTTCTCACACTTTTATCAGTTTTGGTCCATTCCCACCTTGGGTTCATTGTCCAGTTCCAGCTCCAGGTGATGCAGTCCCACCCTCCCAGGTTGCTCTCCTCCATTCCTGTTGTTGGCACTTTTGGGGCTGAAGCTGCAGCGGTGTCCTTGGTTCTGGGGCTGGAAAAAGGATTGTTCTGTGTCACTGAGCTGTGAGGAGAGCTGCTGACATTTTACATGCAGTTCAGAGTCACACACCAATGCAGCGCAGAATCTGGAAAATATGAAGGCTAACACTTAAGGTATGGCTGGTGCCAGCTGTATGTAGCCCTGTCCTCTCCCAGGACAGCCCTGCAGGTGGGCAGTGCTGCAGCTCTGGGTGGCCACATCACCCCGTGCCCTGGGGGTCCCTGGGGGTCCCTGGGGGTCCCTGGGGCTCAGGGCTGGGCCAGTGTCCCCGGTGTGACACCACAGCCCCGTGATGCTGCAGGGCTTGTCCTGGTCTGGGACAGCTTCTGCTGTCCAGTGCCTGGAACAGAGGCTGGATAAGATTAATAGAATAAAGTGGGTATTTATTAAAGGCCTTCAATAGGTGCAGCTGGAGTAGTCAGGAGCCTGCCAGACACTACACCCAAAATGGACAATGGTCACCAGTTTTTCACACAGTTACAAGTTTGGTCCATTTACATTTCAGGGGTTAATCCTCCAATTGCAGCTTTGGGTAATGAAGTCATTTCCCCCCAGTTTGCTCCCCTCAATTCACTGTTGTTTATACTTTCAGGGCCTGAGGCTGTTGGGTGTCCTTGGACCAGGCCCAGAGGGATTGTGTTGTCTGTTCAAAATGTGAAGGCACTAACTAACACTCTATATGGAGTATAGAGTTATCCAATAATGCAGTACAGGATCTGAAAAACATAAAAGCTAAATCAAAGCAGTGTGAGGACACTGACAGTGTGAGGAAGGGAGCAGGGCTTTTTGCCTCGTGCTCGTGGACATTCAGGGACACCAGCATCCTGGCATTCCCTCTCTGCAGCATCTGTTTGGTTTTGCCACACCTTTCCCTGCCAGGAGGGGACACACAGGAGGGATTTGGGATCTAATCCCAGGAACAGGGACAGGAGCATAGGGAACGGCCTCAGGCTGGGCCAGGGCAGGCTCAGGGTGGGCACAGCAGGAATTTCCCCATGGAAAGGGGGCTCAGGAACTGCCCTGGCACTGCCCAGAGGACTCTGGAGTGCCCATCCCTGCAGGTGTCACCTGGAGGTGGCACTCAGAGCCCTGGGCTGGGGACAAGGTGGGTATTGAGCACATCTGTGACTGGATGGGCTGAGAGGGATTTTCCAACCTCAGTGATCCTGGAAGATTCCTGTCCATTGCCTGGTGTAAAAGGCACGTAAGCAAGAAGAGCTTCATAACATGAAGTAAATTTTTGTCCTTGTAGTTCAGTCTGTAAATGTGTCACATATGAATTTTCAAGGTAGAAACTGACAGGAAATGAAGGCAATGGTGAACAATGCACAGCTGAAAATATTGAGAATTGCAGAGAAGTTAGTTGTGGCATTCAGGGTCAGGGTGGCTGACTTTTGACTCCATCAGGGAGTTGTAGTTGCAGGCTTTACAGGACAGCTGGGTCTCTGAGGCAACTAAGATCAGTATTTTTATCTACACCCCTTTTGCTATTTTCCTGTTTCTACCTTATTTGATAGAAACAAAAGAAACATATTACCTCCTGATGATATTGAATTGGGCATCTCCGTGAGGGACAGTCTCAAGGTCCTATGCCATTTGGGGGATTTTCTTCATCATCTTTTCTGCATAGGTATCTAAATTTTTTAGGAAGTTTCCCAGGGATACAGACACTGCTTTCTTGTGTTTTCTTGGACAAACAACATATGACAAAAAAAACCCCAAAACCAAAACCAAAACAAAAAAAACCCCAAAAAACTCCCAACAACAACAAAAACAAAACAAAACAAAAACAAAAAAACAACAAGAAACCAAAAAAACCCCAAAAAATACAAAAAAAAAAAAAAACAAAACAAAAACAAAAAAACAACAAGAAAAAAAATTTAAAAAAACCAAACCAAAACAAAAAAAAACTTAGTTGGTAAGCATGGAGTGTCCTTCCCTATTGTGGGTTACCTCCTTGCTCTAATGATTTTCTACTTTACTGGAAGCTGCTTTTGTTTGCATTGCATTGTGTTGAGCAGAACAGCCTGGAGTTTCTAATTAGTTACTAAACCATTGGGTCTTTTGCTGAAGATACATAAACAGAGGATAAAGTAATAGTTTTTGAGTATTGTGTAAGACTTTTCTTGCCAACTTAATTGAACAAAAGAGCACAGATTGTCTTTAGGTATTGAATTTTGCCTTCAGCATGATCTAGACCTTTTCCCTTAAGTTTATCTGTATTTTTGACAAATGGGAGAAGTTTTGGCAACTTCTGAAGTGCCACTGTTGATTTGAGCCTAACCTCAGGGTTTTTTTTAGGAATTGATGAATGGCATTTTATGTAGCACTTCAAAGATTCTTTTTTGTACTATCTCAGGTAGTCTTAGTTACAAATTGTAGGAGGCATTGAGAAGACTGCCACTACTCTTATATTGAAAAGAGACCTGGGAACATCATGTTCCGTGTGAATATGCTGGCATTTGAGAAAGGGAAGTATTTAATTGCTTTCCAGAGGGTCATATCCTCATGAGGAGCTGTGGTAATCCCTGTGTTAGCTGAGACAATGCAATTGAGGTAGTTGAGGCTTTTTGTTTTCTTAGATTGACATACAGAAAATCTAATTTTGGACTGCTTTTCATTATTTTTTTCCCCATTCACATGTAGCCATCCAAATTTCTTCCACATCTAATTTACTTTGTCAGTTATCAACAGAGTGTTGAAAAAAGGTTGCTCCAATCTCACTGCACCCCATGGTCCACTTTGGGTACATAAAAATTTAATTTGGATGCCAGTACCTAATTAAAGGATCTTTTCTGCTGTGATGTTGTCCATTGTTCCTGCCCATAGGGCCCTTTCCTGACATGGGAGATTGTTTGGCTTTTGAGCAGGAAGTGGGATATTTAATCCAGTACATTTCACTGCAACCTCACTATCAGTTCCACACCTGTACTTACTTTTCTTCCCCTTCCATTTTATTTGAATTGCCACTATTTTGGTTTCTTGTTAATATCCAGGGTGGCAGAGCATGGTTTGGTCCTCCTGAGCTACATTTTT